TAGAATAGTTTTATATTTGTACTGGTATTGGCTCACAGATATGAATCCGGATTATGTTACATCTTCCGGCGTCTCGAAGGATCCTTCTTACTTCCAGTAGTAGGAACAATATTTTCGTTTATATCAAGACTTTACTGTACAGGATGTTCATCCTGTTCATTCAAAATGGAAGAGAGAAAAGTTTGAATATATTTTATTACCAACGTAGGGATATACATCAATTTTTTTAACTTTCAATTTTTTATACTTGCATTATTTCTAGAAAAATAAAGGTGAGTTTTCCAAATGGAATACTACATAATTATATGATATGAAAGCGTATATCAAAACGAGTTCAACCATACAAAATATTTGAAGTATTTCTTTTGTTTCGGTCTTTGTTGACCCGAAGGTCATCATACGTTCTAATACACGCTTTCATACGATATCAAAAAATACATTCCATTTGAAAAACTGAATATTACCTTACTTTCTTGAGCAATAATGCCGCCATAAGAAAGTGATACATATCCCGTTGCCAATAAAGTATATTCAAACTTCTTTAGCAGACTCTGAACCTTTAGATGTACAATTTGATTTTCTGTTCATTTCATCGGAGGAATGTGATTGGCAGCTTGTTAATTACAGTAAAAAATGAATTGTAGGCAAATGAGAAGCTCGGAATTGGGTTAGAATCGGTCGAGAGAATAAACCTATTATAAATACGACACCTGTAAAACGTCCAATCGGATCGGGAGAGTCCCTTCGAGTTTAAATACACGTGTAATCCAAACGTCTTCCATTGTCATCTGATAGATATAGCATTTCGATTATCTGGATGTTGCTGAATGAATATGGATAACTTCAAGCTTGCGGAACTAATCGAATTATGTATTCATGGTCTGCTATGTAATTTATTTTATTAGAATTCAATTTTGTATCAATGTTGAGTTAGTGACATAACCTATACTGCGTTTTCTTTCAGAACCGATTGGAAGTCTATTTTTGATCTGAGAGCTGGAATTTTTCTTGACAATTTTCCAGTCAAATTGGAAAATAATTAATTTGTAAATTCTTAAACTCTTTAACCGTTAATAAACTTCACCGTTTATGAAGATCAATCGGCAATTAATTCTTGCAAGGCGTAAATAGCAAAAAGGCAGACGGTGTAAACTCTTAGTCGAGCTGTAATTTTTCTTGACAACATCTCCGTCAAATTGGAAAGTAATTAACTTGTAAATTTTTAAATTCTGAAACTCTTTAGCCGTTAATAAACTTCACCGTTTATGAAGATCAATCGGCAATTAATTCTTGCAAGGCGTAAATAGCAAAAAGGCGGACGGTGTAAATTTATCTAGGTCGTATCTCGAAGTCGAAGGGAATCGAAGCTGGAAGACGTACACAAGCGACTAGAATTTCAGCGAAAATATATCTCCCGGTTCAATACCCGATCCGAGACGATATATCTTTTTGACGTATGGCTTCACTGGGAAACACTCGTTTCCGCCGTTTCCACGATTACGTGTACCGTCCAATTAAATTCTAATAGCATCTGATTAAATCGATATCCCTGTCATGCTCGTACGATTCACGTACCATGCATTAGATTCGACATACGAGCCGTTTTCAACGGTCATCTGATACGAATGCTGATTTCGGAAACCTGTCACGATTTACATTTGTTCGATAACAACGTTTCAAGTATACGTACATCCTTTCGTTATATACAATAAAACGGTGTTACGTGTAAATGTGGATTCAATTCTTTATTCAATTCAATTCTTTATGGAAATATAAGAAAAATATTATATAGAATAGGATCTGTTGATTTATGGCTTCGTTTTCGAGAAAATCAAGTTTCAAGTATTACCAATGTTATTTTGTCGAGCGACGTGAACACAAATTTGTAAATTTGCAAATTTATTATTCTGAGCTTCTAAATTATCATATGTTTATGTTCCAAAATTTATTACCACTCGTGAAAGCAATATATTTATGCAAATAATTCGGGATTTGTAAATTTGAATAAATCTGAAAATTTGTAAATTTGTAAATTTGTGAGCTTGAAAATTTATGCATACTTTTTATCGAACGATGTAAACGCATATAAATTTATAAATTTGCAACTTTATTGTTGTAAACTTTATAAATTATCGAATATTTATATTTAAAAATTAAAAGTATTTATATGTAAATATTATATGTATATTATATTTTTAACTTTACTTTAGTAAATTATCAAGTTAATAACTTGACAACAAGTTACAACAACTTAACAACAAGATAATAAGTTAATAACATTAATAAATGTCTAATTTACAATTTTACAATTTTTAAATTTGAGATTTTTATGTAGCTGAATATTCACATTTAAAAATTGTCAAATTTCTATATTAATAAATTTGAGGTTTATTAATGTACAAGTTTAAACATCTGGAAATGTTTAAATTTGCAATTTTACAAAGTTTGCAATCTTAAACTTCACAAATTCATAAATTTCTTACTACAAGAGCTTCACAATCTGAAATTTCTGAACTTAAAAGCATTAAAATATTTACATTTTTCAATCTCTAAATTTAAATAATATATAACGTTCAAACTTCCAAATCTGAAAAAGTGTGAAAATTGTTTATTTTCCAATTTGTATATTTACAAATTAAAAATGTTTATCCAAACAAATTGCTGAAATCGAATTTGGCAATTTGTAATTTCGAAATTTCTGAATTTGAAAATTTCTGTATGTTATTTTCTGTGGCGCGATGTGAACGCGTGTCCCAGCACACTTCGGCCAAAATGCAAGATTTGAATATGGCAATTACGATTATTGAATAGGACGTGGAGGAACAATCTGGCCTCCAAGCTTTACAGACCTCGCACGCCTAGACTTTTATTTATGGGAATACATTCCAGAAAAAGTATACGGTAAAGATATCGAAAGTGAGGAGCAATCGGTTCAAGTGATTAATTACGCATTTAACCTCTTGGATACGGCTAAATTTTGCGCGGGCTATCTCTCTAAACGGCAGAGTACGGTGAGCGAATGAATCAGTAAAGCGAGCTACTATAATGGCGCGTTGCACCTAAGAGGTTAAGGAAGCGAAAAGTCGAAACACTTTACCGAGGGTACATGCTTCGGTAAATTAGACGGGCACAGCTACGCATCCGACAACGGGGACGATTTCAGCAATTTTGCAATCGAAAAAGTAAAATTCCATTGAAAGTTTTGTTCGTGTTTTTCTTTAGAGCCGCAAGCATCGTGTGCTCTGCACACATTGCCTGTAAATATAGTACGCGTTTACTTTGCTCGACGGAAGATAACATTGCTTATAACAGCAAAGGAACGCAGCGAATCTTCGAACATGATTTTGTCGAAGCCGAAAATCAACAAGTTTTATTGTACATTTTCTTCTTATTTTTTTTATAAGAAATTAAGTGATATTCACTTTTATATGTTACTTAATTAGACCTCGTATTTGAAAAACGTCCGATATAACCTCTCAGACGATCAATTGGAAGATGTCACTTTATCGAACATTGTCGATTAGAAAAATGTGTGTTCTCTCTATCACTCAACTGACGTTCGAATCACCTCAAGGAGTCAGATATTCCACACACCACATTTATCAAATGATAAAACGACTATATCAGAAGAAGAATGAAATTTGAGTATATGATGATGACATAGGGCGAGTCTTGTAGCGTTACACATTTAAATAACATTGAAAATTATTTAAGTTATAATGTTATAAAGTTAAAAAATTATAATGCAAATAAGGTAATATATGCATAAAGAAAAATTACTGAGAATGTTGCTCTTGTCAATATATTTCAAGTAACATTCTGCTTCACCAGTGAACAATATACAATTTCCTTAAAGTCATCGCGGTTCAAGACTCACCCTGTATTCACAAAATTTGCGATTCAATTAAGAGATATTTTAACACCAACTGAATCAGTATTTAAATGGCGGGCGAGATGAAATTTAAATCTTTGGTGAAATAATTTAATCCGAAATGTCGACACAATTCTAGTTGAAACTGTAATACAATTCAAATTGAAACTATAATACAATTTATATTAAAATTGTAATATAATTTAAATGGAAATTGTAGTACAATTTAAGTGAAAATTGTAATACAATTTAAATGAAAATTATAATACAATTTAATTTAAAATTGTAATGCAATTCAATTTATAATTGTAATACAATTTAAGTTGAAACGATGACAGAATATAAACCGACAAGGTGACAAAAGTTAAATTGAAACGGCAGCACAATTTAAATCGAAATGGCGATTCAATCGAGATGTCATAACCTCCACAGAAAAATGTGTATCTATTGCTGACTGGTAATTAGCCTTAGATCAACTTTGAAAATGTATTGAAAGAACCTGCGAAAGCAAGCTTGTTCGAAGATAAACCGGGTCACTACAAATCGTATGTAAACGCGATCTGTTTGCATTTAGCGACTGAGAGAGAAAGAAAGAGAAAATTAAGGGTCTGGTAAAGCGACGGATCAAGCTGTAAATCGACTTTAAAGGTCTCATTCCACAAATCGTAAAAACCCCATGACTCCTCGTATCTTTAGTGTTGCTCCACAATGAAGAGACAAGAACAACAACTAATTTCGCCAGCGCAAGTCAAGTAATAAAGCGACATTTCGTACTTTCTTCTTCAAGATATTCTTTGTATAATTACGCGGCTGACGGAGTCCGATTTTGCGATTCGTCTCTTAAAATTTTATTAAAAACGAAAATATATTTTTATAACATTTTGAGAGTCAAATTGCAAAATCGGGTTCCGTGACGGCCGCGTAAATGTACGAAGAATACTTTGGAGAAGAAAGCGCGGAAAATATGGCTTCTCACTCGAAAATCGTGCAACGGCGAAATTGTTGCGGTTCTCTTTTTTGTCGGGAGTGACGAGAAACCGGAGCTTGTCAGTTTTGTCAGCGGATGTTCGCAGGTCGATGTACCAGACCCTTTAAAGGTAGCGGAGAGTGCAGTGTAATAATGCGTTACCTGAGAGCAGGTGTGTTGAGTCGGGTGTTGCGTGTAAGCAGCGTTCGCCGCTGCGCATACCCCAGTGCCCGGAACCTTCAACTGTTCTTTGTAATCAGGTTGATACGGCAGCAACATGCGAATCTTTCCCCAACGGTTGAAGAACAACGCTATCGCGCCCGCCCAGAAGATCAACACCAACACCACGATGCCCACTTCTACGCCGCGAACCTGTAATTCATGTGTTCGTTTGTTTAAACGACGAGGAGAACTGTACATAATTTTATTGTAAGTGTTAATGATAGACAAAGTAAACTTAACCTCTTAGGTACGACGCGCCACTATAGTGGCTTTCGCAGACACTGTCTCTGTACAACGATCCACTATAGTAGCTTTCGCGAGTGTCATCGTATCACTACGATACATGTTAACCTCTTCGGCACAACGCGCCTCTATAGTGGCTTTCGCGAATGTCACCGTACATTACATAGTGCCACTACAATGGTTCACTCTACTCACTCACTCACCGTTTTAATCACATATTTTAACAAATTTAATTAATTTTTCACATATTTTAATTCGCACTTTTTTTCACCACGTTTTATAAGAGTATTAACAAATCCAAAAGTACATTACATGGAAATAAAAGGTAACGCCAAGTTTAGGCACCATGGAGCACCTCTTTGCACTAATACACGATATTGGAAACATTTGCAAATTACATATTTTGTGAATTTTCTAAAAAAGTAAATTATCAAAGTTAAAGTATATATATCGTATCTTTGTGAAAAATTTTAATTTAATCATCAAAAACTTCATTCCAATATACTCGCGTAGAGAACAGCATTGTCCGTCACACATAGTAGTGCTGCATCCTTTACGCGTAATTCGCGTCGAATTCTGTCGTACAGAGAAGCAGCGCCGCGTGAAGTTACGCCGTACCTAAGAGGTTAACTAGCACAGAAAGTTTACTACTGCAGATTAATATACTTGATCGCTATAACGGTCACGCGTGACGTGAAGTTCGTGCGCTTCAAGGAAACTTCCTTTCGTGATAGGCAGATGTCGCATTTTTACCATAACGAGTATAGTGAAAAGTACGCGATGTTCGGTATTCTCAATTAAAATAAGCACACATTGTAGTGCTGTTTCTCAGGAGTAAGAAATCAAGAAAAAGTATCGATAGGCAGTGATATTGTGAAATAGGACTGAACAAAAAGTGGGGACACAACAAGTGGTGACACTCTAACAAGAATTACTTGTAAAAAGGGACAGACTGGTACAACCAATTTAAAAGTCCATGTGAAACGAATAGTAACAGGAGTACAATTTCGACGCCGGTACTCTAAAATGCGCATGCGCACAGTGTGTAATTATGACGGTTGACAGAAAATGGTTTAAACTTGCACATTCACCAGTAATATATTCGTGGTAAATATTTTATCATTTCTCTACAACACATTCGCCTGTACTTAATTTTGATAAATAGTATATCATTTCTTTAGAAGTTATTTGTAATACCCATTTCTGTAATATATATGTACAAGATATGTTTGTATATCCTTAAAATATATTATAGATTAATCATTTTCGTATATTCCTTTCTTTTTCAACTTTTCAATGTTGTAAAATTCATATAAATACTTTGAAAGCCAATATTAGGAATACACAGAAAATTTACGAGAAATAGATTTCTAATTATTGGAGGTTGACGTGAAATTGGATTCACGTGATATAAATTTCCCGCTCGTCTGCACAACCTACTCAAAGGGACAGGCTTTGTCGCACATCAAAGTTGTCGCCCGGAGTGTCGCCTCTTGTTGTATCTCCACTGTTTGTCTGAACTATGGGAATCCCGAAATGCTCTGTTTATTCTGTGTCGTACTACGTCCACAGTGAGAAGAATGCCAACTCGGAAAAACATTGAATTTTCTAATTATCAAAAATCTAAATTATACAATTCTTAAATCCTAAGATTTTGCAAATTTCTAAATTCTCAAATCCTTGAATTCTTGAGTTGTCGAATTTTTTAAATTCAAAAATTTCCAAATCTGAAACTTTAGTAATTTGAAAATTTTCAATCTTTTAAATCTTTCAATTACCCAATTTCATATTTCTTGACATCTCAAATTATCAAATTTCTGAATTTCTTCTCAGGTTCTATAACCTAGGTTCTTAAACTTCATAGTCCAATTAATTTTACAAATAATACTTTTCTTTGAAATTAATCTAAATTAGTTGAAATTAATTTAAATTATTTTAAATTAAAACAAACTATTATTATACCTTTTGATCTTTTTATATATCACTATTTTAGCTGTTCATCTAAATTATGTTTATTAGATGCATTTTTCATCGACAACCACCATGACAGTTAACATACCATAAACTCTTCATATATGGCAGTTCAGAATCTTTATGTAGCAACTATAGAATAAAAATAGCACAAAGAATCAAGAATATGTTCAAACAGTTTATCGATATGATTGACTGGACGATGACAAAAAGAGGAAACATGATTGACAATGAATGAGAACTGGTTGTTAAGTGAGGATACGACGGCCATCTATGTATAACGCCGTCACGTGACTTGCAAGTCTAGAAACCTTGCTGTATGAAGAATGAGTACGAATCATGTATCTAATAAGGGAATGAGTGGAATCAATTAGTTGCAAATAAATAAAGCATGAGTATGTGATTGGTATCGAACAAAACAACGAGAGAAATGCGTGCACAACGATGAAGAAAATGGAGGGAGGTAATGAGATCTTGAAAGTTACATATATAGCGCTTGTTCTTTATAGTATATTAAATTAGTGTCAATCTTCTATCGTAAAATTAATTTCCATTTATTTATTCTTTGGCGACGCTTTTTTGTTCTTAGTTTGTGGATTATGAAATTTTGAGAACTGAAAAATTGGAAATTTGGAATGTGGAAGTTTGCAGAATTGAAAGATTAGAATTCTGAAATTTTAGGATTCTGGAATTCTGGACTTTTGGGATTTCAAGATTTTGACATTTTGGAATTTCGGTATTTCAAGATTTTGACATTTTGGAATTTCGATATTTCAAGATTTTGGAATTCTTTTGAAATTACGAGATTTTTATATTTTGGAATTTTTAAAGTTTACAAATTTACAATTTTGGAAATTTGGAATTTTAGAAATTTGGAAATTTGGGATTTTGGAAATTTGGAATTTTGGAATTTGGAATTTTGGAAATTCGAAAATTTAGAATTTTGTAAATTTGGAATTTGGAATGTTGGAAACTCGAAAATTTAGAATTTTTGAAATTTGGAATTTTGGGAATTTGAAAATTTAGAATTTTGGAAATTTGGAATTTTGGAATTTTAGAAATTTGAAAATGTAAAAATTTGGAATTTGGAAATTTGGAATTTTGGAAATTTGGGATTTTGGAAATTTGAAATTTTGGAAATTTGGAAATTTGGAATTTTGGAAATTCGAAAATTTAGAATTTTGGAAATTTGGAATTTGGAATTTTGGAAACTCGAAAATTTAGAATTTTTGAAATTTGGAATTTTGGGAATTAGGAATTTTGGAAATTTGGAAATTTGAAAATTTGAAAATTTGGAATTTTGGAATTTGGAAATTTGGAATTTCGAAAATTTAGTATTTATATTTTGTTATTAGTAAAATTCAAGATTTCCAATTTTGCTACTCAAGTTTTCAAATTTGAAATTTTTCAATTATGCAAATTTTGAAATTTCCAAATTTCTAGTGTCCTATTGTTCCAATTTTCTGATTTTCTAACTTCACACTATTACAAAATTTTTATATTTCAAAATATATAAATAGATTCTATGTTTTCGAATTTGCAGATTTTCAAATTTCTAAATATTAAGAATTCCAAATTAATTATGAAACTCCTAGAAACGTACTAACAATAAGAATACAAAAACTTGTAAAAATGAAAAACTACGTGGTAATTATTTCGAAAGCAGACGAGTTTCCATTTTCGTTAATTGTTAAATGTTGCAAAAATCGCCATTTTGAACAACTTGTTCCGATACACATAACGGTCGAACTCTCATAGTTTTCGAGATATTCGCAAAAAACTGTCACAACTGTGTCACCCAATTCTGCCTATATGCACGTATCTACGACACAGTCACAAGCATATTCGGTATTCCTAAATCGCGTATTTTTTCCGTTTATTTTTTTCAACGCGTACTCGGAAAGATGGACGAGATCGGTTAGGCTATATTTTTTCGCGGCCATCTTGCGCCGGAGATCTTCTAACTCGAACCGAACATTTTCAAAACATCTCCGAACCTAAGAACGAACGGAGGTTACGCGTAGGAAAAAGTTATTCAGAACGTCGAACTTGGCAACATATTTCAAGATCATTGAAATCGACGAAACGGACGGTGTAAAAAATTTGATTTTTACATATGTCGTTTCCAGCAAGAATGGATATGACATTCGCAGTCAGCGTGTCGAAACCAGTGAAATGATGTATATTACGATTACGTTCTATGTGCTTGTGTGGCGCCATAGTCAAGTTTTATGAAAAATGTTTCAGAAGAGAAATTTCGAATGAAGCCAACGACAATGAATAAAAGTACGAGCAGAATTGTTATTTCTTCGAAATAAGAAACTTTCTGAAGCATTTCACGTAGCTGTGGTACGTTCCGACTCATTTAGAGAATTGTTGGCTCTTTAAAAACTTCATTTTTCCGTACTTTTGAAAGAAAGTAACTATAGATGGTTTTATTTGAGGTGCTAGGAGGAGAAATGCGCCTCGATCCACTTTTTGCGCGAAAAACTTTTACTAACTTTAATGGCTGTCTCGTGTCGATATTATACAATATCAAACAGCTATGTTTATAAACATGATTCACTTTCTTTAGTAAACAGAGCTACTCTGCGTGTTGTCTCAACATGAATCGCAAATTGATTTATTAGCAAATTTCCACGCAACTTCAACGTATATTGGACTTTACGGTATACCTAACTTTATGACATAACTTTCTGACAAGTCTGAAAAAGTTTTTAAATTCGTCCGATAAAAAATTAATGAATCAAAAATTGCAATCCTAAATTTTCAATTCTACAAAATTAAGAACTTTGAAAACTAGTCTTTTAAATTTTTTAATTTTGCAAGTTAGAAATTTTATAATGTTTAAATTAATGACTTGAGGAACTTAGTTGTTTATAAAATTGAGAAGTTAGGAATTTGAAAAATTTCAGAATTTGGAATTTTTTTAAATTTAAATTTGTGAGTATGGAAATTTTAAAATATTTAAATCCATAAAAGTGGAAAGGTTTAATTTTTGTAGATTTAAAATTGTAAATTCGTAGATTTAAAAATTTGATAATTTTGAAGCCCAAAAATTTTATAAGTTACAAGCTTAAAAATTCAAAAATTCAAAAATTCAAAAATACGAACCGTGTGACTTAAAAAATCAGAAATTTAGTAAATTTTCAAGTTACATTTTATACTCGAGTGTACTAAATGATATGCCATTGTAATTAACCGTATTATCAAGTTTTAATCGCGAAATTATATTACTTTACGTGATGGAACGTATTCTGATGCACATGTTCCAATAAAACCAAAGACAAATAACTATTCAAGTCACGTAATGTTCCGTTTAACGTTTTACATGAATTATTAACAGCATCATCAATGTTGCTTCGTAAGTACACACGGAAGCGTCTATACGTGGTTACACATCAAATGAAATGATAGGCTGCAACAGAACATGTACTCCATTTTATATGTCAATAAAATTGCTGGTATACTTCAGCTCAAATAGTTCGGATACATGGTAATAAAACTGTATTGACACTAGAATTGCCACACCAGTCAAAATGATTTTTCAATTTCATTTAGTCATTCTTCAAATTATATTTTCTTTCGCAATGATATCTTTTGCAGTGATAACTAAAGGCGTAATATAATAAATTTTATTTTTGTTTCATTTATTCGGAATCCAAATAAACTTGCACCATGGTTTTATTGTGAAATTTAACCGCACTGTCTTATCTGGCGCCACAGTATAAACAAACATGGCTGCCATGTAACGTAATATAGTGATCGATGTTGTTTCACGCCTTCATTTTGTGTACCATTAATTATTGAAAAAGGATTGATTCTTTTTCATACAGAGATATTTTACAGACTTTAAAAATGGCAGATTAAAAATCTTTGAATTCTTGCAAATAGCGAAAAATATACCAATGGAATGCTGTAATGTTAAAGATTGTGAATTGTGTTAGCATGAAAGAAGTAAGTTAAAAGAAAATGAAATTGTACTTTATTGTGACTAGATTATAGAGGAAGAAAATATTCAGGAGTGTTTAGAAAATGAATGAGATAATATTTGAAATGAACATTTAATTTACGTGACAGAAATGTTTGCGTGCTTTTGCATTTCTTCAACAGGGCGTCTTCGAATCAATCGGAACGATTCGGCAATCTTCGATAATTTTCGGCGCGCGAGTCGGTTGCCGGTTCGCGACGGTTGACACGTGGCGAACAGAATAAATTTGAAAAGTGAACAATAAAGACGTGTAGTGTAAATAATAAAGTAATAATAAAATTGTAGTGTAAGCTAATAAATTAAAGAAGAGAATCGTGGAAATCCATATCGAAATCTTAATAATAATACGGACGGTTTTCGCAACAATTTGTTGTTACACGCAGTTGAACCACGACACTGTCGAGTTAGAAGCTAATGGTAGAATTTTACGTTTATCTCGAAGAGACACTTTTGAAGGATGACCTGAACACTTTTTCTCACCGTGATTACGTCTTTTACTAACAAAATCAGCAATTGCACTTTTTGAACAACCTATTTGTTACGCGATATAACCGTATTCAATGCGAAAATCATCTATCATAGTTTTTCTCTCTGAAAGTTCTTTTCTGCGAGACATTTTGTTTCCTAACCTCTATAAACGAATCTTACGAACGTAAAATGAAACAAGTGAAGATGAATTTGTTTACTTACGAAGATCGATTGACGTCAACATAAAGATACAAGGTTAGTAAATTTATGAGTAGCTTGGAAATCAAGCTTTACGTAATCCGGCTTATTTACGTAAATAGATTTATTTACGTTACTTTGCACGGTTTATTCTTTATATCCTATGAATTCGTATTTAAAGAACAGTGACTATAATTTCTTACTAAAAGCTTCGATCATTAAAAATAAGCGTGGTTGGTATATTTATATATTGTTTGTAATATTAAAATAAACTTGTATTGTAATGTTAAAATAAATTTGTAATGTTAAAATAAATGATAAAGAAGCTTATAGAATGTACCAAAGATACGTAGAATTTACGTACATAAGATATATAATATTTTTTATAGTAAGTACGATGTTTCGACCCGATATACATAAATAAAGTATACTAAAAATTTACACTGTTTCACTTTCGTATTCCATCACGAAATAACAGTCGATGACACGAGACAGCTTCTACATAAAATTGTCGATAAATCCACGAAATGTGAGGCTATCACTTTGATGAGTGCAATGAATGTGTGCACAGTTAAACTTACTTGTATATAAGGTTGTGGTTGTTGCGAAGAAGGCGGGGGTGGTGGAAGGGGGCCGTCAGTTACCGCTGCATCCTGTTGAGGGGATGTTCTTGGCGGTTCTGAAACACACACAAACAAAACTCAGCTACGTACACACTACAAAATGAGTTTTCGATTTGATTAAAGCTTTCATATCGTACAGCAATGACTTCCTGCGATCATTTAATGCATTAAATTCAACGCTTGATATGAAATTCTATACGCTTGTGTGACCCATATCAATACAACAGTTTTATTAAGGCTTAATATAGCAATTTCAAATATGTATTTTATAACCATGTCTATGGCGCTATACATGAGATATATAAACTCTGTGAAACTGGTAATGGTGATATTATAGAGAAATAATAATTTTCAAAATATTCATAAAATTTTTTGATAGAACATTTAATTTCTGCTAATACCAAAAGTACATTTTGTCAAAAATACTTTCATGCAAAGGAGGAATTTATAAATGATTGTGAATTATCTGTTTTAAGAAAAAGGTTCTTTTCTAGTGTCATTGTAAGTCACTTCAGGTAGTTTTTTTTTTTAACAGGCAAGGAACTTTATTACATATTATTAATTATATTATTTTTATTTTACTTTATTATATATATACTTTATACTTTATTATATATATATAAATACAAATTGTCAATAAAATCTTAGTTCTTCTCTCATCATAGCAGAACTAAGGTGGCGTAGCAAACATACTCTACATTTAATATTTTAATAAATGTAAGCATCAATAAAGGTTATATATTATTAATACCTAATAAAAACCGTTACACTCTAATAATCTAGATCTTCTGAAATTTTAATATCCTATAACTTCAGAATGAGAGCAGGCTATTTTTAAATTGTTCTTGTTCTTTTCTTTGCATGCTTTCTTTTCTAGCCATAGTTATACCATACTTTATTCTCAGTTATTTCACAGTGTACAACCTTGTTTCACCATGTAACGTAATATCTAGATGTCTTCTGTTAGTAGCAAGGTTAAACATGCTATAAGAAGGTTGAAACTTACCTAGCGTACGGAAGACGATCGGTCGACTTCGAAACTTTTTGCCTGCTCTAACGGCGGTGACGACAAGTTGGTATTGCGTGTCAGCCCTAAGGCCGCTCAATGTGACCGCTTCACTATTTCCTGCGACCACCGCCACCACCCTGTAACTAACCATCTTGCCGTTGTGTTTTGGTTTTTATGCTAACGAAGAGTATTCTAACTTGTTCAAACTTCTGTGTGCTATTCTAATTCTTTCTGAAAACGCACATTGAACTTTATTTTCTTGTTTACAAGCTTTTGGCACGTGTTACACTTTAACTGGTCATTTTACTGGTTTCATCGCGCTGACTACGAATGTCATATCCGTTCTTGCTGGAAACGACACATATAAAAATCGAATTTTTGATACCGTCCGTTTCGTCGATTTCAATGATCTTGAAATATGTTGCCAAGTTCGACGTTCTGAATAACTTTTTCCTACGCGTAACCTCCGTTCGTTCTTAGGTTCGGAGATGTTTTGAAAATGTTCGGTTCGAGTTAGAAGATCTCCGGCGCAAGATGGCCGCGAAAAAATATAGCCTAACCGATCTCGTCCATCTTTCCGAGTACGCGTTGAAAAAATAAACGGAGAAAATACGCGATATACGAATGCCGAATATGCTTGTGACCGTGTCGCAGATACGTGCATATGGGCAGAATTGGGTGAGACAGTTGTGACAGTTTTCTGCGAATATCTCGAAAACTATGAGAGTCCGACCGTTATGTGCATAGGAACAAGTTGTTCAAAATGGCGACTTTTGCAACATTTAGCAATCATCGAAACTGGAAACTTGTATTCTATTGCAATAATTACCAAATGTTTTTGCGCTCTGGTGATTTTTTGTATTTTTGGTAATTCTGATATTTTTAAACAAAGGAATGCAACTTGTGTTTGTTACATTAAAACGAGTAAAATGGTGTCAACTATGTGCAGAAAGCTTTACAAGTTATTTATAATGTGATAAAAATAATGCTTTCATTTAAATTTACCGTCTATTTCTGTTTATTGAATATTTCTTATAATTAACACATTACAGTCATGTATAGACATAGATTAATAATTTTGGAGACAGTGAATGCCACAAAAGAGTTTTGGTTTTTGAGATGTTCGAATTTTGAAATTATAAGAGTTTGGAAATGTGGGAATTGAGAAATTTTACAATTTGAGAAACTAAGGAATTTGGGAATTTATAAATTTAGGAATGTACCTAAGATTTTAATAATTTGAAAATTCAGCGGTTCGAGAAAATTTGATTTTTAAAAATACTGCTTTGAAAAGATCAGAACCCTGTTTTCAGAATCTAAATTTTGGAATTTTGGAATTTTTAAATTTTGGTATTTCAGATTTATAACATTTTAAAGTTTCTAAATCTTGAAGTGTATAAAATTTTTAATATTTTAGATTTTGAGTATTTAAAGAATTTAAAAATATTGTCACACATTTCTTAAATTTCACTTATTTCAAAATGGCTATCTTAATAAACTTAAAATTTTTCATTTCCTACACTGAAATTGCAAAGTCCCTATTTTTTCCTAGAATGTCACGAATAAATCCTAATTCACAAACTTCATACATACTGTAGAACCACATTCTCTACGATGCATTACAGCATCACCATAGAATTTTACTTTTCTAAAAGTTTAACCATTCATCACTATCCTAGATGTTAACCCAAGGTTCAGCAAAGTTGTCTCCCGCGAAAAGGCGTTGTTTACTCCATCGTTTATCTCTTCACGATAGTACAGAGTGTAATATCGCAAAAGTGCAATTCTTTCATGGTTGTTTCTGTAACGAGCCATAGGGGAGACGTTGTGGAGCTCACATTATTTTTATTTTTATCTTTTCTGAGATTATAACTAGAAGGAAAATCATTTGGATATATTTTAAAAAGCTACCACTATTTAATTTTGTAAAATAAAATAAATGTAATTTTGGAATTAGAAAATTTAGAAATTTTACAGATTTGAGGATACTGCAATTTTTGGGGTTTGAAAAATAAAAGTATCAGTTTTGATTTGCAAAATGTTCTATTGAAAATATTCCTATAATAATCCATGTTTCAAAAGTGCAGTCACAGTTCTAAATAGCCAGTGACGGTTAAACAGAGATCTTGCTCAATATTAATTCTCCTTGTACATCGAAAAAACAATTAATACGTTCTACAATAAGATTTTAGTTACATACGCAAGATTTGTAATCGAATATCTTAAGAAATGACAAAACTTTTCGTCTAATCCGATATCAAGCGTACCCTCGCGACGGCCATATTTGTTTTCTGTAGCAGCGCCACTCTAACCTCGGCAATACTTATTGTTTCCCATATCTTATAGTTTTAGCGTCGCGCTGTTTCAGAAATATACTACGCGAAAGAACGATCAAAAGAAAAAGCGTCAATATCAAAGAGAACGACTTCTGGTTACAATCGTTACTTACGTATATTGAAAGTGTGAACTCGGCAGAAAATTGCAAAAGTAGCAGAAAATCAACGAACGCGTGAAACGTATGACGTTCATATTTTATTATTTCATGGCGCACAGTCTCAAAGGCTCGAGATTCGTGGATTAAGCGCTACAGTTATTGGTATTTGCTGTATTCGGTATTTTCCTCTGCAGGCTACAAGTTTTTTCATTTGATCAGTTACTAGCTGAATTCTACCACAATATCTTGGATTACCACATCGAAAAAACAATTAATACGTTCTACAATAAGATTTTAGTTACATACGCAAGATTTGTAATCGAATATCTTAAGAAATGACAAAACTTTTCGTCTAATCCGATATCAAGCGTACCCTCGCGTCGGCCATATTTGTTTTCTGTAGCAGCGCCACTCTAACCTCGGCAATACTTATTGTTTCCCATATCTTATAGTTTTAGCGTCGCGCCGTTTCAGAAATATACTACGCGAAAGAACGATCAAAAGAAAAAGCGTCAATATCAAAGAGAACGACTTCTGGTTACAATCGTTACTTACGTATATTGAAAGTGTGAACTCGGCAGAAAATTGCAAAAGTAGCAGAAAATCAAAGAACGCGTGAAACGTACGACGTTCATATTTTATTATTTCATGGCGCACAGTCTCAAAGGCTCGAGATTCGTGGATTAAGCGCTACAGTTATTGGTATTTGCTGTATTCGGTATTTTCCTCTGCAGGCTACAAGTTTTTTCATTTGTTCAATTACTAGCTGAATTCTACCACAATATCTTGGATTACCTCTTTTCTTCGTCCAATTTTCTGATGTCTAAATTAACGCTAGAATCAGTAAAAATTACTAGTTTCATTTTCCATATTTTATGTAGGACATTGTAATTATTAACAATTATTATTATTAATTTCAACTTTGATTGTTGAAATTTTATAATTTTTTGATCATCAATTTTAAATAAATTTCAACAACCTAATCTTACAACCACAATTTGCAAATTAACTATAAAACCGTACAATTTATGATTGTCAACAAATTTTTTTAATAATGCATTAGCAGACTGTAATGTGTTAATAACAAATAGTTTCTTTGATATACCTATTTAATTTTAAACGGACTAATTTTCATGGAAAATGTATTTTCTATGATCCCTTAAATTATCAGGTTATGGCAACAGCAATAGTGTCAGTAAACGACAGAGCAGGAAAATATTCCTCCCCCGATTTGCCCATATTTATATTTATTTTAAGCTGTGCGAACAGCTGATAAGGAAACGTCGAAAACTCGATATTTCCTTTACGTGGTTGGTTTGCTAATTTCCTTCCCCGATATTTAATTTCCTGAAAAAAATATTTTACTATGCACTGACGTAGTTTTACATCCACCTCCACAATTCTCAAACGTTACTCCCACGGAGAATACACAAAATAAATTAAACGAAAGAATGACAAAAACACTGATAAATTCAGAAGATGAATTACGAACGTGATTGAAACAAGAATGTCATTCTTCAGAATATTAGAAAGAATTATTCATAATAAGTATTGAATGATTATTTCCAATTATTTGCCCAAACGATTACTTGTTATTAAATAAAAAAATTTGCCACAAAATATTAAAATTGTTTTACCTACGTTTTATATATAAAGTGTACAAAATAAAATTGTTAAATTTTTTAACAATCTTTTTATTTATTTAAAACAACTTTTTTATCAATAGTTTTTTTTTTATATATACTACTGAATTTATAATTTAAATATACTTTTATTTATATAAGTAAAAACGTTTGTTAAATTAAAATAACAAATATTAAATGTTTTAAATTATTTAATGAATTCAGCTAATGTTGTTATATATTTATGAAATAATATTTTATATAATATTTAGAAGCATGTTTCCTCCCTTTTATTCCACTTTTCAAATCTCTAATGGACTTTTTATGACAAAGATAAACTTTTTATTGCTGTTGCCATACAGTATGAAGTATAAAAATTTCAAGAGACATCAACTACTACAATAGACAATTTGAAAATGATACACACAGTGTGAAGATTCGTGGGACGCTATATTACTCTAACTTTTATAGGTATAATTGCAGAAATTTCTAAAAGTAATAATTCTGTAAAATTATAGTACTGTAATATAGTGTTTTTGAAAGGAATAAATTCGTGGCCAAACTAGCTTACTGCTGAAATACATACTAGCTTTAATAAATTATTATGCAATTTTCTTCAATTCCTCAATTCTGTTACTTACAAATCTTTAAATTTTCAATTATTAAATTCCTTGATTTTGTAACTCAGGAATTTTTAAATTTTACAAATCACCTTACAATTTTTTAAATTTCTTGCAGTTTTAAAAATTTCACAACCCAACATTTAAAATTTAATAAATTTCATAACTCAAATTTTTCTACATTACAATTTTCCCATTTTTCAAATTTTCTAAACTAATACTAAATTGATAGCAAAATAAGAATATTTATATTGTAATCATAGTATTAGTATATTTATCATATCATAAATTGTCCTACAGTAATATTAAGAACTTTTGTAGTTATTCTGGAAATATAATAATGTTGCAGAATTATTACCTTTAGAATCTTGTGTATTTGTGCTATATCTGGTGTTCTAAAGATTGTGTATTTCCTTTGTCAGTGATTTAACATACACTGTCATTTGTGCTTTTCTAACGAATATACA